TTGGAATGAGGGTGACGCGCTTGACATAGATGGCCCAGAGCGACTCACGAATAGCTACTGATTCCGATCAATACCGGTGCGGCTTCTGCCTCCTTCTACGGATGCTCATGTGGGCTGCAGCCAGGGCGTCACAATATCAGCTTCAATCGACAAAATGGATGCGACGAAGAGACTGCTGGCTTTCTTTTTCTGTTAAAGTCGAACAGCTTCGCAGCATTCTAGAACCTCAGTCGGCGTGCACAAACAAATGTTCAATCGCTTGTCTCTCTTTCTCCCGTCGCTCCATTGGTCTTCCTTTCAAGCTTCGTCGAAATGGATGAGCGAAAGAGCGCTCGACTTTGATAGTTTTCTCTTTCATGAAACACATCAACAGAGGTTTCATGACGTATATGACGGAAAATGAAATAACACATTTAAAGCATTTCTCACGTCAAAACACTTGAAGATTACACGTCATATTTCTAATTTATCTTCCATCCATATATTTATCTTAAAAAAATGATCGAAAACGGGACATAACGCATTTTAAACAAATTGAAAGAGCGGCGATAGAGTGTTCGTGAAAGGGGATTGAAAGCCATAATGAAGTTCGTTTAACTAGAAAATCGACGTTATTTACATTGAAAGCGATGAGCAAAGCAACGACGAGAAGTTCCACAGCCAGCCTTTCCTTCCAAGCGTCCTTCTTTTTTATTTTCGTTTCTTGCTGATAGTCTAGCTAGGCGTTATAGAAATGAAGCGTCGAACACGTATGTATGAGAGAAACAAAACACGAGTTCATTTTAGAGCTTCGAAATTGTAGAGCCCTGGCTGCAGCTCACTGTTTGCAGGTGGCCTTTCGTTGTGTACTGGAGTACAATGTTCAACGCCATGCGCCGAAAGCACTGCTGCTGATGCCGACGACCGGACATCACCACACACGGTGATTGGAACTGAATTCGATCAGCGGTTGAGGCCAGCCTTGGTAGCTAGCTGCTTGCGGGGAGCCTTTTGTTGTGTACTGGAAAACACCACCACTCATCCCGCGGTGATTGAATAAATACCGTTCGGTGAGACCGGATGGCATTCAACTTTGAAATCTGTGTTAGGGAAATCGTTTTTCGCAGGCAATCGGTGATAATTTTAATTATCAAAGCAACAGTTGCACATTCGTGCAATTTGCAATAGTGACCTTTTTGAAAAATGATAAAGTTTTAAATTGAACGGATGCGTAGAAATATTTCTGATCGATTGGTGGTAAAATTATTGAAATCGCTCCAGGGGCAACTGAGTTATTAAAGTTAAAAATCTTTCATGATTTTGTTACATGTTCCATTTTTGCTTTTCACAAAGTGTACACCTATATAGGAATCACAGACGTAGGCCTACCTCAAACGTGCCCACTTCAAAAATCGATATGTTTTCGATAAGTTTCCATTATGTTTTGATGTTTTGAAATGTTTTGAATGGAGAATGCAGTGATTTCGATAGCAATTCCCTTGTGTATCCGAAAATTGGTGGTTCGTGATGTGCAAAAACGGTGAATCGCACCGGGCTTTCGCTAGGAAGTACAGTATCAGCGAGGCAGCGGTTGGGAAAATTCTTCTAAAACTAAAAACGTTCGGATCAGTGATGGATCGCCCTGGCAGAGGCAGGAAGCGCAAAACGGATGCGAGAACGGACACCAAGATCATGCGCGATGTGAAGAAGAACCCGAAAGGAAACGACGGAATAATGACAGCAGTTTCCTACATCAACATCCTGCGGGAATATTTGGAGTGAGTGTTGCTTCTCAAAAAGGTACATGAGAAGACGTTTGAATCCGTGCAAGGTTTCAGTCAATACGCGGCATTCACCCCGACGGTCAATTTGAAGTGAAAACTTAAATTGAACGAAGTTTAAAAATTCGTTGCGAAGAGCATGGAAATTGGAAGTGGTTATCACAATAGGGGGAACCTTTTTCTTTTCGGCACTAAGCCGGGAATGTTTAACGGATTTTTGCCTGGATGATGGGCCATTCTCATCATCCGTAAGCATATAAAATTGATTGCTCAATTGAAGTTCATTAGAAGGGGGATCAAGCGATTGCGCTTTTCTTTTGCGCTTAGGCGCCATGGCGCACAGTGGGACGAAACTATTGAGTGTAGCATTTTTATGTCTTCTAAAATGTTTCTTCATTTTTAAAGTACTTTCATTGAGAAGCGAACATTTTTGATCAAGGGGGGTATACACTAAGATACAAAAAATAACTTTTTTATGTCTTGTTGAAATTGATGAACATCTATGGAAACATTGTAGATGAAGTCATTTTAAGAAACTTTGTCGAAGACGTCAATTTTCTATCCCTCAACTGGACGAAGTTATTGGGTGAAAACTTTTTAGATTGTATTTTTCGATTGTTTTAATGTTCAACAAAGTTGTAAGTGCTCTAAAAATGCACATTTTTGTTGAATGAAGCAAATTGCTATCTCTTCATGTAAAGGATTTACAAAAGTATTTATAATTTGTCAACACTAACTTTAAAGGGGTGTATCTGCAGGTTACCAGGTATTAGTGGCTAAACTCGACGTAATTGCGTTCAGCAACTTATACCCTACTGTTACTCATACAATTCATATGGGGATCGATCCAAGGGGATGCCTAATACATTTTTTTTTTAATAAAGTACCTCAATGTTTTGATACGTTTTGCTGTTTTCATGACCAAAGTGGGTTGTAGCTTGAACAAAGTTGTTTGGTATAGTATTCTCAATCTAAGTCCCAGTTTTGGTGAAATTTGAGCAATATTTGGATTTTTGGTAAGCAAATGAATAGGCTCGTTCCGTTTCACATACAAAATTTAAAATTCTCCAGCAAATCGAGATTATAACCAAATTCGTTCAAATTTTGCCCAGTTGTTAGGAACCAGAGTAAGCATTGAAAGAGCAGTGAGAAACCTACTCAAATGTAAACACTTCGAAAAATGGTCATGAAAATAGCAAAACGTAACAAAACGTTGAGGTACTTTTTAGAAAATTCATCATGCATCCCCTTGGATTCCCCTATGAATTGTATGAGTAACAGTAGACTAGAAGATGCTGAAGAGAGACACAGTTCGAAAAAGTAGTGTCAATTTCTGTTCAATATGATGCACATAAATGCGTTTACATTATATATCATGTAAAGTTCTGACACATTTCATGCAATTATTACCTTTGTAGTGATTTATTTTTTGCAGCAAAAATGTACAGTTTTAGAGCACTTACAACTTTGAAGAACATTGAAATAATTGTAAAATTCAAACTAAAAAGTTATGGTAAAAAACGGAGTACCCCCTGTACTACCGTTTGTACTTCATTTTCACCCTATAGCTTCGTCCACTTGACAGATGGAAAATTGACTAAAAACTAAAATCTTAAAATAACTTCATCTTCAATGTTTTCATAGATGATCATCAATTTCAACAAGACATAAAAAAGTTATTTTTTTATCTTAGTGTATACCCCCCTGTGTCAAGCACATACTTTACTACCTCTCCTTGTTACTTCAAGAGCAAATTTTCATTATGTCGTAAGTAACATTCGCACCAATTCGAGAAAAATAAAGTTTTGTTTTGATGACCGAAAAGTTATTCCAATTTCCAATTAAACACATATAATCTCATAGTGATAGCAATGTTTAACATATTTAGCCGGGTTTTAATCATACAAATGCAAATCGCTAGCTTTCATGCTAAAAAAAATGGTTTTTGAGTCAAAAGTTATTATACGTCGTTTGGTGGACCCTATTGTTACTTAAGTCAAAGTGTATTTACCAGGATATTCGGGAGAATTATCAATTACGTCTCCTTACGTGCAGCCCATTCATCATGTTAGGACCACCGAAATCATCTTAGCAACAAACAGTTCTATTTATTCAATTTAATAATGAGAAAGCGAAACGACGAACGTACACTTTTCACGGGTTTCTCAGCGCTGTTACTTAAGGCAAACGGCATCTCCATAGAAATCGGGTGACTTAAGTAACATCGAAAACTATTTTGATCGGAAGGTGATTACGTCAAAAAGCAATTTGACTGGTACATAATTTTAATAATGGGATGTGATCCTATATTCGGACAGTATATAGTGTAATAGCAGGAGCATCGATTGACACTGATAGCTCGACTTTGTTTACCTTTGTTACATTCGACGTAATGAAAATTTGCTCTTGACTTACAAGATCAAAATATCGGAATAATGTCCAATGATTTAATAATTCCGTAAACAAAATTGTATAGCAAAGTGAGTGGAAGCAACCTTGCATTTGACGTTTCCAAAATAAGATGTATCATTTGGCCCAACATTTTACTCGATGGTAAAATAGTTTCTCACAATGATTCCCTTTTGAGGAAGACCCCATCGTAAAGTTAAAACGAAATCAAACTAATGTTGAAACCATAGAAGACTATTTAGCCGTTGGGCTTTGATAACCAAGGTTGTAAATACTCATTTCAGCTAAAACAATGTTTTTCTAAATTATGAAATAATTAGATGCCATGATCAAATTTTAAATTGGTAGGATACAAGAAGAGGTTGCAAAGAATGTGTTTGACATATTAAACCTGTTTATTTCACTTCATGAGAGTCACAATCAGCGATTTTTCACAAACTCACTCACTCACTCACTCACTCACTCAGCGATCAGAAAATCGCTGATTGTGGCTCATAGAAAGCAAAATTTACAGGTTTTATGTTTCCAACGCATACTTTGTAACCTCTTCTTGTAAGTTACAAGTAAAACATGCCATCATACTATCTTTTGGTTTTATTATTCCGAAAAACATTATTTTAGCTGAAATGAGTATTTGCAACCTTGTTGATAACAATTACAGTCGTCCTTAAACATGTCTAGTTAACCTCATCGATGAGACGACGCTTTTTCCACTTTCCTGGAATAATCCATTTGGTGGATTTCCCAAGTTTCATTTCACAAACGTGCAGATAACCGAACAGCCAATACCTGGGTACCAATCAAACCACTCAAAATTCACAGCTGACTTACCTGACATGCGCAGACTTCGCCGAAGCCACCTTTGCCCAAAACCCGGTACATGCGAAATGTTTTGTAAGTAACCGGCTGTGCCTCCAACCACTTCCACTGTAAGTATCTGCAAAGAAGGAAAGCATCGGAAACGCAAAATTAATAACAGATTGATATCAAACGTACCGTGTGTGACAGGCTGTGGAAAATCTTTGATTGGATTCGATGGGTTTTACGATAAACAACAGTAGGTATCGGTACTTGTGGAAACATGTTTTCTCCGAAAAAAAAAATGAACCAAATCAATTTGTCCCAATCTGTCGGTACATTTAATGCCCAAAACGCTTCGCTACTCATTTCGATTTATGATGACGATGATTGTGCACAATTGCTTCCTCAAGTAGCAAAACGCACAAGTCACGGCGGCACAAATATTCTCGATTCCGAATGCATGACGGCGTTGTCATATAGCATTCGATATCCAAAGAGAGTGACAATACAGCAGCAGGTCGGTTACCATAGTCGGGAACGAAGATAAATGTCTGCTCAGCTATATAATCTGAAATTAATGAAGTGAAACATTGCTTCTGTTTGAGAGCTTGGTAAACGTAGCACATCCTGCACCACGTGATCGACGGCGGCGGGTGGTAGTTGGTGAAGTCCTCACAGGCACAAACACACGGATGCATAAATAAACGAATTTTCTTAAGGGACAAGATGAAGCGGAAGCGGCAAGCGATTTCTGAAAGCGTTAGCAACAATCGGCGTCGCAGAGAGTGGATATGTGTCCTGTTTCTGTCACGTGTGCGTTGCTGCTCGATATCGAGTTTGAGGTGCGGAAGGTGCGGTCTTGCGAGAGATACATAGTGCAAAGAAAATTGTTTACCAAACCAATTCCAACAGTGGCAGCGGGAAGTGGCTTTTCCCGTTGCGGGTCCAAGAGCGTCTTTATGTCACTCTCACGAATGGCGGAAACAGGTCAGTGAACAGTGTAACCACAGACAAACAGACTAACAATCTCTTACCAGAATATGGAGTTGTATGCGAAACCGCATTCAATATGCCATGCAAGGTGAATCAATTGTATGAAAACTGCGCTGCGGTGAATCAGCCAAATAATATTTAAATTGACCAAAACCGACTGTGCTTCGTCTGTTTGCCTGTGGTGTAACGCAAATATATAAATCCCCCGGGAGCTGAGACGGATCAGAAGAGATAGATGGATGGCACATAAAAAATGGATCAGGTCCTGAGACTGGCAGGAAGTTTGATTTGGTTTGCTCAGAAATTACGAATAAATGGATTAGGAATCCAGTCCATATATCATCGCAGTCTATCGTTGGATGTGTTTGCTCCATTTAGTAATATGTGATGTACACGGTCTTTTTGATGTTATCATTGGAAACATTCGAATCAAATATTTGGAGACCATTAGCTATCCCGTCCATAGCTATTATTTTCCGATGAGCCTTAAATGGATCCGACGTTCCGACCTATCAAATCTACTCGATCTGATATGAAAAAATCCTAAATTGGTAACATCCCACAGGGCTCAACAACCGTGCCGATGAAAGCTTCGGCGACCGATGTGAAATTCAACCTCAAAGATCCAGAAATGGCCACATCCCCTATGACACCAAAACCGGTGGTAAGCATCAGTGTGCAATCTACGCTCCCGATCATAAATTGCTGTCAACCTTTAAAAACATGTAAAAGTTTTCCACTCATATCACTGCCATTTTACGACCGATTTTCGATCTTTATAGGCAAGGTAATTTGAAAGGTTTTGACTGGAATTTTGTTTCGTAGTTAACTGGTTTAATATAATTTAACTAATCATGTTTTTATTAATGCATGCGTGAAGTTAACGATTTACATAGAAGGGGATGCTTAACGTCAAGGAAGGTTGACATGCTCGTTCCCAGGCAACCGTCGAAGAGCAATGCGGACAAACTTGCAGCCCATACAACAACTGCATACTCTAATGTAGAGTGAACCAAAGAACAATAAAGGGTCTTTAAGCAAGGAATATCTGAGAATTGTTTTGTGGCACGAAAAATGAAGCCCAGGCATGATCTTTAAAAGATAATCTCGTATCTAAAAGAATATCCAAATCCATAACTGTACATTCACGCTATAGAGATGTACCAGCGATATTGTAAACAAATGAGTCTACGGAGCGTTTACGAGCAAATCACTGAGCATTTGTCAGCATTCAAAGTCATACGATTTGTTGAGCACCATTTGCAAAAATTGTCAAGGAAGGAAATGTGCATCTTCTTGACAATTTATTACAAAGCAAAGTTTGAAGTCATCATCATACGAGAGCTTTAAACATTTTAGAAATAGGTTGAAGTCATTCAAGTACAGCAAGAATAAGAAAGGTTCCATATGCCTGCCCTATGGAACACGAGATGTGACAAATAATGCTTCTGATTTATAGGGTGTCCCAGAAACTATAAGCCTACTTTCAACTCACCACCATTTTTATCCCGATGAAATTTATCAGCTGTTCATCGATGTGTGTTGTTGTTTACTCATTGCTCAACAAGTTTGTGTAAGCAAAGTGCATTTTGACGTAGGATTTCAATTTACAAAAAAACCAAAATCGACCGCGTCACGACAAGTGGTCAGGTTTTGACCACTCATAACACTGTCAATAGCTGATGGATTTTAATTCTAAACAAGCCAATAGATTGGAAATTTTCTTACAAATCTGCTAAAATGAACACTTTATCAATTTTCAATAGGTCACTATTGAAAATTACACAAATGTTCGACTGTTGTAATGCTGATCAAAATGTACACTCATTGCCTACAAAAACCGCTTTCACTAACACAGATTTCATAATCGATTTCCATGTGTGGTAGTGTCTGGTCGGTCGTCATCATCATCATCAGCAGCAGCATCAGTGTTTTCGGCGCGTGGCGTTGAACATTGTTCTCCACAACGTACAGGCTTCCCACAAACAGCGAGCTGCAGCCCACATGAGCGTCCATTCACCGAAGAAGAAGGGAAACGCCACACCGCTACTGATCGGATTCAGTTGCTCGACGTGAGCCGCTGTCGACCAAGCGCGTCACTCTCGTTCCAAACAACATATACACTGTATATTATACAGTGTATCTCAAAATTGAACGTACAGCTGTCCTTCAATTTTAGAAAAACGGCTCTAAAAGCACAACATATAAAGATACGTTTTTAAATTTTTGGCTGCTAAGTCATCATACATTTTTCAATTATTGGTAAAGTATTGGTCATTTTTGGATGAATTTATAAAAAGTTAGAGCTATTTCAGAAGAACGCTTTTTTCTTGAAAATCCTTATTTTCTTGAAATTACATGAACCTAGCTTTTAGAAATTTTGCTCTTTTTTAGTCCCATTAAAGATCATTCATATGCCACTAATCTTACTGAAATTCGTCCACCAGGTAAATAGTTGAAAATCGAGTCGATGCATGTACTATTTTTGCATTAGTATAATTGGTGAGGCTTCGATTGGCAGACGGCGAGGCGAGCACTTCTCCATAAAAGCAGCACCAGTGCCCCAACCGGACTCATTCAATCGGTAGGCTGCAACCGCTTTGGCCAGCTGAGGGTTTTTCTGAGTTTACCTCACTGCGGCTTTAAGTGATCTGCAATCCCCATCCAGCGTACCCGGACGCTGCCACATTCCGTGGCGGATCTGCTCGACGGACGGTGAGGAACGCATATTCCGTGGCCGACGAACGGTGAGCAGTACGCTTCGGCCAGCTGAGGGTTTCCTTGAGTTTACCTCCTGGCCCCAAAGCGATCTGCAATCACAACCCAGACACCCAGTAAGGCTCCCTTGGACTTGAGACATCCCACACCTGACACCATGGAGCACCACCATTTTGTGAAGGCACCCGACAGGCCCGCCGAAAATCACGACACTTACCGAGGCCAACCAGCATCGCCCACACGCAAAACACCATCTGAGATCACTTCCGTTGGGACATCCCTGTCCTGGGTGGGGCTCTGTCTTATTCTGGACACAGCGAACTGTCAGGCAGCAACTCTAGTTAGACGCAAGCCTCCCACTTGTTTTGATATCAGCGAGCTGGAAGACTTGAGCTGTCCCTCCGAGGACGTTACCACCAGCAGACACCTAGTTCCTGCTCTACCAGTACTCGTCAACTTTATCCTCCAGTGGAAGGTGAACGGTTTCCTGAACCACCTCGGCGACTCGGAGATGCTCTGCCCCTGCAATCCACCCTGGGTGATAGCTCTCCAAGAAGTTAACAAGGTGACGGTAGACCAGATGGGATCGTTCGCTTACCGAAAAATACGCCTCAGCAATTTTCCGGTAAGCGAAGGTAGCAATTTTCACCACTCCGTAGCCATTGGTGTTCTAAGGAGCATACCTTTTAACGAGTTTGACCTGGGAACTGATCTTCCCATAGTTGCTGTTCAATTGGAGAAGCCGGAAAACATTGCGATTACCTGTGCATACCTGCCATGTGGGAGAACGTTTGCAACAAAATCTGTCAAATAAAATCACCGGCGTTTTCAGCAAGCTATTCGAACCATGGATGTTTGTCGGAGACCTCAATGGGCATCATCCAACTTGGGGCTGTCCTCGTCCGGATCCTAGAGGAAGCATCCTAATGGACCTACTCGATCAACCATGGAAACCCAACATTCTTCAACGGACGTCACGCCACGGCTATCGACAGCTTTCGTCAGCCACGGCCCCAGAAGTCACTAAAAGGCTTCGCTGGCGGTACGACGAGGCTGACTGGGATGGGTATCAGGGGACAATTCTGTCCCTGATCCTCGAGCGCAATCCGTTAACCATCCCGGATGTTTCTAAGTTGGTGTTAGATGCTGCATCCGCTACCATACCAAAGACCAGTAGCCTACCTGGACGAAAAGCCCTCCGTTGGTGGAGTGAAGACACCAAAAAAAGCCGTTAAAGCCCGCCGGAAAGCTCTACGGAAACTCAGGCGAACCCCGAGAGATGACCCAAACAGGGAAGAGCTACTAACCCGGTACCGTGCACTGCATATTCAATGCAGAAAACAAGTGAGAAGTGCAAAGCTAAACAGTTGGTCTGGTTTCCTTGAAAGCATCAACGCCTCCCAGTCCTCTGCCGATCTCTGGAGC